ACAGCCCTGGGAGAAGCTAGAGTGAGCTTCACCCGAGATCCAAGTAAACAGGAAAGGAAAGCAGGCCTGCAGCATCAGGCCATCTTAACACCACATAAATCAATCCAAATCCCACTCCTGCACACCGGAGGCCAGGCCTGAGAGCAGCCATAGCATTGTTGGAAGATTCTCCGGAACTGAGGCAGGTTTTAAAAAGTTTTCAGGCTGAACTATCCAACCATTAAGGTGGCAAGATAGCATGGAGCTCGAGAGAGAGCGGCAGAGCTGTGGTGCCGCTGGAGGGTTTAATGGGTGTCTGTCCAGGATGCCAGGCTCAGAGAGCAGGCACTCAATAAACACATCTGAAACAAAAATCGCAAAGGTATGACACGTGGTGACTCTCTTTCGGGCAAGGATAGACCACAGAGGGGGTAAACTAAATGAATTTTTCTAAATAAAGAACCACATTCTGGACCTTTGAGTGTTTGATTTGTTAAAGTATGACCTGGAACCACTGTGGGTAAAACCTGGAGGTAGGGAGAATGTAGAAAGGGAGCCTGTGTTGATCCAAATAGTGCAGAGGCAGACAGAAACACAGAGCAGGGTCTCAGGAAGGGGAAAGCACCTGACAGAGAAGAGCCTGGACATAGCTAAACTAGGACCCGATCATAAGAAACCAGAAGATGCGTGCAGCCCTGAGCCTCCTGGGCAGACAGCAGTGACAGGCGAGTTGAAGACTGAGAAGGAGATACAGTTATTCTGTGCATCCTTGGAGCACTGGGTCCAGATGAGGGTAGAAAATACAGTCCCAGGTGCACTTCGTCTTTTTAAATAAATTCACTGTTCTCTCCTGGAAACCATGAATGAGGTCACAAGACCTCAAGATGGTCCAACTTACTGATGCCAAAATTTGCCCAATGAAACACGTAGCACTGACACTCTATACATGGCCTTCTTGCAATGGAGCAAGGTATGGGTTTGACTGTAATAACCATGCCCCACTCTAGAATGGAGATGTCACCATTTAGGTTTTTCTTCCATTGCTAACCTTTGCTTTCCTGCGCTCCTTTTGTTTACCCTTAGCTTTTTCTCTCTACGTGTTCTCTCTACGTTTGGCTACCAAAAATCTGTGGAGCCTTCTAAACCTGTCCTGTCCTCTCTCTCCCAAACACTTGGGCCAGGACTGCCTCGATTTGAGGCCACTAAAGCCACATCATGGGAAATGCGAGGCTAGGATGGCTCCCCAGCTGTGCTGTCTCTATCCAGGGGTTACGGCTGATGGATTCCTCTCTGTGGCCAATTATTTTCCATGGCCCTTGGCCATATGACCTTGGACCATGATCTTGTCAGTTCTCATAACCTAACCAGGAGTAGAATGAATTACACTCAGAGAGGAAACCTCTGGGGGAAAACTGCAAGAGGCTGTGGGAGAAAACAGACAGTAAACCAAGGCCCCCAAGGCCATGGGAGTCTCAGCATCCCCCAGGCCTCCATCGCCTCTGAGCTCCTCTCATTGTACATGAAGGGAAGACGGATGAGGCAAAGGCCCTGTGGAGGCAGGCTAGGCTGTAGGAGGGCCACTATACTAAGTAAGATTTAGAATCTCCATCCAAGAAGCTAATTGTCTCTAATATTTCCAACTTTCTTGGTCACTGTTTGAACCCTTCAGTGGTTAACACTCAAGTCTCTACTCTTAAGACTCCTGAGTAAGCTATATGGCAGCTGGCACAGTTATAGGTATCCAGACCTCGTGCTGGGATGGGTGACTGAGGTGGCTCAGGAAAAGGTTTTGCCAGGCCCTTGATTCCATGTGGATGGGGAGGAAGTTTTCCCAGACACATTGATTAAAACTCACAAGGAAGCACCAATAACCCTCCATATTCTACACTATCCCACATGTAGCTATTTTACCCTCCAAGCCCTAAGTTTCTCCATCTTACCTATTTATTACTTAAATAAATAATGTTCTTACTTAATAGAATTACTCAAATCAAGACACAATTTTATTCTGAACAATCTTTGAATTTCAGACTTTTGTGTCTCTGCAGTTTAGAGTCATACATTACCTTCAGTTGTCTGACAAGTTAATGTGTTGTTCTGAGTGGTTACTTCTGGATAAAATATGCACACACCGAAAGAGCTCTTGACTCTGTATACATGGAAGCTGTTTTCTGGGCATGGCTGGACTCAGTTCTGGGAGTGGCATGTGTACATGCGTGGATGGGGACAGCACATGCATTTCTGCGTGCACCAAGACTCAAAGGGCTGCCTGCTATTTTAAGAGTCTAAACTCCGGCTCTCAACAAAGTTAAGCCCTTTCCTTTTGCAAATGCATTTAATTTTATCTGGAAACTTTTTGACATTCGAAATAGAACAACTGTAGTTTCTCATTATGTTTGCTGCCAGAATCCATGCTTCGTTGCTCAAGTAAAGAGCTTATATTGCTAATTACTACCACATGCCCATATCCCAAGCGAAAGGAAACTTATTGATTCTGACAGCCCATTCTCTCAACACTGAATTCCAAATGAAAACTCAAATTTTGGCCAAACATAACATTTCATCAATCTTGTTCTACTGACTGGAAAAACAACATCAAACAAAGGGGTGCTAATGGCCCTTTATTACCGTTCCTTTCCCAAGCTTATATTTTCTGATGAAAGATCTAAGTGACCAAGGGCTTCTTTAAACTACTTGGTAATTAGCTTTTGAACCAGGAAACAATGCATAAAGTAATGGGACCAGACCCGGTGTCGATGACAGGACATACCCTATATCCTGCAGGGTCCAGGGACATTGGAGACCCAAGGAGAACATTAAAAGCACAATGCATTTTCATAAAGGGGCAAGAAAAAAGGGAGGAGGGAACCAGGCTAAAACAGTGATAAACGATTACAGAGCTAGAATGCGACTGCAGGAGCGCTGTGATCTGCAGCCCCCAGCAGGTGGGGTTGTGTGTGAACACGCCAGACTTTAAACCTCACCAGATCAGACCAGGGCAGGCCACTGAGTACTGGTCTTGGGACCTCATTTGGACCACCCATCCACAAAATTTGTTAGGCAACAGCCCTAGAAGAAAGAAAGAGAAAGGAGAAAGGAGAAGAAGAGGAAGAGGAAGAAGAGGAAGAAGAAAGAGGAAAGCGAAAAAAAAAATATCCCCACCAATGAGAGTCAAGAAATACTTTCAACTTAGGTTTAAAAGCCACTGATTTTCTTGACTTCGTTGGGAACAGGGATAAAGAGATGCTGGCTGAGACCAGTGCGCTGGGACAGCTATAATGAGTGCCTGGAACTCTCAGAATGCCTTCCACATTACAAAGACCTGTCCATATCTCAAAGGCACACCGGATTAGGAAACTGTTTTCCTCTTGGTTTAAGATAAATGACAGAGCGAGAATCTTTGGGCTTATTTGGCCTTTTTGAACTAACCAATGGCCCAGACATCCAGACAGCTTGATTCTAACCTCATCCAAGACTGTTAAGATAATAGGAAGGGCAGAAACCTATGGAGGGAGATGGGGAGACACACCGCCTTCCTGAGAAGATGCCAACTGGCCTCTTTCCCCAATGTCCTTTGCGTCTGAGAGGAAACTGCTGTCCTGTTGGTAGTTCAAGGAAATGAGCCCTTTCTCCACCTCCTCATTTTCTGAAGAGAGGACTGGACACCTGAGCTCAGGATGCGTTGGACAGCAATCATAGAGAAGCTCCCTGAGCTCCATCCAGAAGGGCCAACTGTCAAGATGGAAGGGGCAGCCATGTGTGTGTGTGTGGGGGGGTATTTCCTATAGGCCATTGTAGTTCTCTTAAACACCAAACTAAGCTAATCATGCGGCAATAAGTAAGAATTATTAACAAGATAAAAGAGCTCCATGATGGGGGACAGGGCATGGGCGCGAGTGGGGCAGTTTTCCACACTTTAATACAGATGTGGATGGCAGGGTCTGGCATGTAGGCCAGTGCACATTCCTCTAGGTGTGCACAGGATGTGTGCCATTCCATTCTATGCGTGTCATATCCTGAAATAAAAGCAAAGCCGAATGGCTCTCTGAAAGCTTTCAACGCAAGTACTTTTGGAGACGGTTGCAGCCAGCCCACCCTCCCACCAACACTCCTCTGTTGAGATGGTCCTGTGGCAGAGGATCAAGAGAATAAGGTCCTGGCATCGGCATTAGAATAAAACTTTTAGTCCATACTGGATGCATGCCCTGATATTGATGCTGACATAGTGACCTGGGCACAAACTGAAATAATTCCCAAAGAAGGAAAGCTTCCTCTCTGGGAAATCCAGCATGCCTGTGGCACCTGGACACCATAAGTGTAACACTCCCTGCCCTGGAGGCATTTCTCCTGTGCAGTGAGACCTTTTAACACACAAGTGGGGAAATCACTATTTCAGAGAATACGTTTCCTGGTGGTCATGGGCGTTCCATAGGGCAGACGGGCCATGCCTTCCCTATGCTGTACATTAGTGCACATGCCAAATCAACCAGGGAGTGATGCCACCTCAGTCGGAGGGACCAGAGTTTGATCATATCACCAGCTCATGAGAAGAGCTTAGTGTATATATTAAGGACGATGAGGGTAGAAAATACAGTCCAGGCTGCACATGGACCCCTTTAAATAAATTCACCATTGTCTCTTGGAGATTGTAAATGGCCACTAGATGTCAAGAGGGTCCAACCATCTTCTGTGCTCTGAAACCCTGGTGGTGCAGAATGTGCACGCTCCCTCATTGAAGAAGTGAGCAGGGCAGGGAAGGGGCATGATCCCATGCTGCAGGCACAGGGCTCTTCAGGTCAATCAAGCACATCTCCTATGATGCAACTGACTTACTTTCTGCCTCCATGTTTGTTAAAAGTTCCGCCGAATTTATTCCGATTCAGGATGAGAGCAGCAATTTCGGGCACGTAGCGGGCAAACATTGCCTACATGCATGAGACAAAGAAACAAGAGCCAAACAGAAAAGGCATGCAGACAGGCTCCTACGCCGCGGAGGCCGCGAAACCTCTTGGCATACTTACTTTCTTCCACTAACCGCGCTATACGAGCCCCCGTATTTCTTGCGGTTTCCTATTAACTCTATGATTTCAGGGACGTAGCTGGCAAACATGGCCTAAGGAGAAGAGGGGAGACAGAAGAGAGACTAAAAAGACAGGCCAAAGAAAGGGTGACATTTTCAGAAGGGGGAATACTAAGATCTGAAAACACAAAAGGATTAGACCTGTAAAGGCGCATATTCATGTGTCGGACTATACAAAAGTAACAGGACAAAGGGGAATGTTCCTGGAAATGCACAGGATGGAACAAACAGAAGTCAGCCTAGAGGACTAGAAAACAACAAACCACAGTCAAAAAAAAAAATAAAGGAGACAAGAGTAAATGAGTTGATGTCTTCTTTCCGAAGGAAAGTAGCTAAGAGTCTTGCAGACTTGTGAAAGCACACGCCTGCACACACACACACAAACACTGACATGCATGGATGGACAGACATAAGTACATATGCACAAGCACTCAGGCATACATGCACGCACACACACACAGGTGCATACACACACGCACGCTCATGGGCAAACAAACATAGGCACCCATGCACATGCATGCATATAAGAATGTAAGAAAAGCCCTTCCAAATAACACACAAAGGGGAATATTTTTATGGGTTGCTAAAGACACTAAGCACTAAAAGAGGATTAAAAATAAACATATTCATTGAAAATGACTAAAAAGCATAAGAGGTCAATTCTGGAAATCATACAAGAGGGGAGGATAGCAAGGAGACACGAAACTGCCATGTTTTGCCCAACCAAGACGGTCCTGTGGCTGGATAATGGGGTTTCCTACTCTACGGGCCCTGCAGAAATGGTGTTAATGTCCACCACCACACACGTTTATATACATTTTCAAAATGTATATGTCCTATGCATACAGAACAGAGAGAAATGTATGCATCACTTCATATAAATGTGTGTGCGGTGCACATATGCGACAACTGCTTGTGGACTATAATCTTAATCGCTTGCCTCATCTGCAGAAAAGCAATCATACTTTATTATGAGCTACTCTGAAAGACAAAATGCAGCAACCGCCAATATGCTGCCTGGAAACTCCCTGGAATTCCACTGTATGCGGTGACCTCTTAATACATAGGGACCAGGGAAGTCAGTTTTGAGGCGATAAATGGAGTAGGCTTTGGACATACTCAGGTTATTACTATAGTGGCATTTTTTTAAATGAGGGGACCCTGCTCTTTAGGGCAGGTGCCAGCCACAGTGCTTGCTGAAAGTCTGGGAAGGGAACTCTTGAAACTGCCATCTGTCTGCAGAGCCTGGGCAGCAACTCCCAGAGTCAGCAGCAGCAACCGTATCTGAATCCCACTACTAAAGGACACTCTCATTTATTAATGGCATCTATCTCTTAAGACAATTAGGTTTGTTCCTATCTATGTGGCTGTCCCCAATGAGGACAATATGCCTGGGTCTAAGGGACAAACATAACACTACAGAAATACACAATGAAGTCACCATGGGGCTTGGATTTAGCTTGCCTGGCTGCATAAAGGCAGTTACTTGCTTCCAGTGCAGAACACAAAGCCTAAAGAAGTGGGTAGTAGCAAATATGAATCGCCATTAAAATGGACATAATAAGAAAGAGGGTTGTTTTACCAGTCCCCCGAGGATGAAGAAGACCATGAAGAGACGTCCAAGCGTAGTTTTGGCATAAACATCCCCATAGCCCACTGTAGACATTGTGACCATGAGTAAGTAGACACATTCCCAGTATGTCAGTGCCTGGTTGTTTTGGAAATTTTCCCATGGGTCCCCTGAATTCTCCACCTGCAGCAAGAGGAGGTTGGGAACAGAAAAGAAACCCATCAGAAGTCCATATGTACTGTATATGGGAACCAGGAAGCCCGGGAACTCCAGAGGGCTCTTTTTGTATAAGTGTCCTCTTCTCAGTACAGGTGAAACAGTGCCACCCTGTGCTAGTCACTGAGGCATGATGTCCCAGCTATCACAGAAGAGGAAGTAGCAACAAGCAATGTCCTCTGAATGGGGCATCAAGGAGAGGGGATGGGGAGGAACATCACATCCTGAAATTCTGATGCTCTGCCCCCTTTACAGCATCCCCTTTAAGGCAGATGTGAGACAGCTCTTTTGGCATCTCCCCTGGGAATTCCCGATGTCCTAGACCTTCCACAAAGGGCTCTACACTTCTTTTCATCATTTTAGCTAAGGAAATCAGACCTGACTCAGGTTCTGCCTGATCCCTAAACATCATCTCCACTTTTGAGGCTGCAGTCACTTTCTCTGCAGAAGCCCCACTCGCAATTCTGCACTTCCAGCTCGTCAACCTTCCTCTGGAATAAGAGGAACCGCACCCACAGAATCTCTAGACTAACCTCCCTACAGACGGTCTCAGGAAAGGGTCAACAATCGTGTCAGCTTGGGCTGCAGAGTTCCTGAGGTCTTCAAAGCTACTGGGCCGGGCCCTGTGAGAGTAGCAAGGACCCAGCAGGGAGCAGAAAGTGGGTGTTAGCAGGATCTGGGGGAGTGTAGACTGCTCTCAGTCATGGGCTTCAGAGAGAATTAGGGTGTCACCAGTATAAATAGTTGGGTAGGGACTGGAAAGGCAGTTCAATGGTTAAGAACACATATTGTTCTTACAGAGGACTGGAGTTCAGTGCCCAGCGTTCACTTCTAGCAGCTTGCAATCACCTGTAACTACAGTTCTTCCTAGATTTAAAGATTTAAAGTCCTCTTCTTGCCTCCATGGGTACACCCACACATCTGCACATGTCTCTACGCAGACACACAGGCATGCACATAATTAAAAATAAATCTATGTGTTTTTAAAACGTTGTGTAAAATCCCCAGTTATCTGGTTTAGCAGCTGATGGAAACAAAGTCGTTCATTTCAAGTTTTGTAGTCTGATGGGGCTCCTTCCAGGTGTAAGAGTTTAAGTGCATGTGAAATATGTATCTAATAGTAACTATGCTCTCTGAAAGCAGGCAAAAGAAATCATCCCGGGGAGGGAGTGGAGTGTCAGGGTTGGACTTAGTAATAGCATTCAAAGATTCATAAAAAAAAAAATAATAATAATAAAATAAATAAACAAATAAAATAAAAACCATAGGCAGGTTGAAACAACTTGACAAGTCATCAAGCAAATGCAAAAGTCTGTGAGAGAGAAGTAGAGACACATCCAGGGATCTGAATTTGTTGTTTACAAAGAGCTGTGTAGGTCATACTTTGAGCTTTGGTGCTAGACTTTTTTCTTGGCGTTTGGTGTGGAAGCACTGCCATCTGGTGGTTTTCCTAGGTTATTGCATACAAAATGAAAACTGCAAGTCTCCCTGAAACAATGCAGGTAAAGCTGGAAAATACAGGTCCATGGTGCGAGTATTACGCACCTTTTGGAACTAGTTTGTGGAGAGAAGTAAAGGGTAGGGAATTCTGAAAAATTGCGTGGTTTGTTCCTCTTTCGTGTGTCTACAGCTAAACTTGTCTTCCTCAAAGAAACGATTACTAAGTAATAAAATGACAGACTTGTCAAGGGCTTGCTCCCGGCCAGCCAGGAAGGCAGGGTCTTCAAGGCTACTTACCAAGTGGATGAATCCAGCTGCAGTCAGCCACGTGCTGATAAATATGGAGAGCAGATTCACCAGCTTGATGGAATTACTGTACAAGGGAACAAAGAGGAGAGTCTAAGTTACAGAGAGAAGACTGGTGGGAAGTGCCTGATGGTGTCACAGCGTCCCCTTTCGGGGACAGGCAGGCCACTCTCATCAAAAGGGTGAGACACCTTGATCAGGAATGAGGGTTCCAACAGAGGAAAATCACAGGTGGACCCAGCATCAGCCCCCTCAAACTTCATTAAAACTTAACTTGTCGGTAAGACAAACTTCTTCAAATATACAAAAAAAGCAAGAAGAGTAAATAGAATTTGCGAGCCTTCACTTTTATTGACATTTCCCCACATCTTCAGTATCTCTGTATTCTGTTTCATTCACTTCAGTGTGTTTCCTCTTTCTGCTTACATTTTTATGTTGTATTTGAGCCACTGTTGTGGAATTCACAGTAGAACCTCTAATCATTGTAGCATCCAACTCCTCAGAGAGGACACCCTGCAGTAGAACCATGACCCTCCTGTATCTCAGAAAAGGAATTTAACTCAGCAACGGGATGTAACATACAATCCTTATTTGAATGCCTCCAGTTGTCCTGAGAGTTTGCTTAGTGAAGTTTCCATCATTTTCATCTTGCAGAAAAAAAAAATTGTCCCCAACCTCTTGTTCTCCCATTACTGGCCCAACACAGCCTCTGGAGATGCTGGTCCTTCACACTGGGCAATTCATCTATGATACCAGTGCCCTCTTTCTGTCCATGTCTTTCACATCGATAACATATTATCTACATTCTAAGAGTTTGAATCTTGAATGTACAGCAAAAAGGCAAGGATGGAGGCTATGGTCTATTGGGCAGTCCAGAGCTTTGCAAGGGGCCCCAACAGAGGCTGTAATCACTAGTCCTGGATCAGCCATGGCGCTTTCCTTCACTTCCACTTATGTAACTGAAGAAAGGCATTCGTGGTCTCTGTTTGCCTGGACAAGAATGAGCAAGTGCTTCCAAAGCTGTGGGCGAGACTGGCCTTTCGAGATGTGTGGGACACCATCCTCCCAGTTTAAAACCATATGACAAGAAAACAACACACTGCCCACTCTACACATCTGGCTATCTCCAGAATCACCATTTGAAGTTCCTGCAGGTTGCTGAAGCATTGTTACGTGCTAAGAATTTCGCTGAGCACTGGACCAAGCTCTGAGTTCAGTTGAAGAGAGGGAGGAGGGATAATATGAGCAAAGGGCGAGACTATGATGCGGATACTCACAGGAACAGCTGACCCAAGCTAGCAGAAGTTCACTGACTCAGGGACTGACAGTAGGTGACAGCTATGTGGCTTGGGCAGTCTGTGGGACCACAGACAGTGGACCAGGATTTATTCCTAGTGCATGAACTGGCTTTTTGGAGCCCATTTCCTATGGAGGGATACCTTTCTCAGCCTAGATACAGGAGGCAGGGCCTTGGTCTTGCCTTTCTCTCTCTCTCTGAGGAGTAGATGGGGGGAAAGGTGGGGGAAGCAGGAGGAGGAGAGGGAATGGGATTGATATGTAAAATGTGAAAAGATAGTTCTAAAAAGGAAGGATGGGAGGGAGGGAGAGAGGGAGGGAGGGAGGGAGGAAAGGAAAGGAAAGGAAAGGAAAGGAAAGGAAAGGAAAGGAAAGGAAAGGAAAGGAAAGGAAAAAAAAGGAAGAATAAAAAGAAAAAGTAAGTGGGACACCTCCTCCCCCCACCCCCCCAAAAGAACTTCACTGAGTCCTTTGGGTCTTCTGAATGTCACCCTTTAACGCAGGGGGTAGGTGATGATACTGTTGTCATTCACTACCTAGGAATTAGGTTTAGGGAGCTTATTTAGGTCGCTTGGGAATCATAATTAGTAAGTGGTAAGTAACTTGGGAAATTAGCATGGGAAGGCATGGGACCTTCTTTTCAGTTACCCTGTGGTTTGCTAGTCACCCCTTCCTAAGCACATATATCTCCGCACAGCCCCTGACCTGGGAGACCAGAGTATCAAGGGCTTCTCCTGTTACTAGGTAGTCCAAAGAAATGCTGCCAATAAAAGCCTCAGCCAGCAGATAGACCTATCAGACATATTTTTCAGGAACTACATGTTCTAGTTCTTCTCAGATACAAGCTTTTAACAACCTACTCTAGAGGAGTCCTCCTAAAAACAAGCCCAGAAAAGATGGAGAGAGAGGCAGAAGCCCCGGAGGGAGCTAAAGGCCTGCGTGCAGCTTTGTCTGAAGTCAGCCATTCCCTCTCGGACCTAATCATTCTGAAGGTGGATTCTGATACTTGCCTATACACAACAGAAATGGCTTACATCCAGAATATTCTCTGGGAGCGTCATAATTGGCCAGGCCTGTCTACTATGTGGCCTGAGGTAGTTAGCTCTGTGGCTCTAGACGCTGTGGTTTGGTCGGCACTCTCGAGGGCAAACATGCCTGTGCTAAATTCTGACCTTCAAACCTTTTCCAGTCACCTCAGTGGGCCACGCCATCCTTTGCCTCTCTCAAAGTCAGTGTTGCGGCTGAGAACAGAATCACCAACTAACAAAAGAATGTGTTTACCAATTTCCATCCAAGCCTTTCTCTGCAGCTGGGACATACTGGGATCCCTGCCTCTTTGCTCCATGGAGCAGCTGACTAGGCTGGAGGTCCTCTTCACTGTCTCCCAGGTTCTTTATCAGAGGAATAGTTCCAAAAGTCAGAGATCAGCAAGGTGGAAATAAAACAAACCAAGTCAGGGGTTTGCCAGCTGAGCGCCATCCGGAGCAACGCAGGCAAGCCTGCAGCTCACTCTGTTTCATTAGCCAGGTTATCGCTATGTGCTGTTCTCTGCAAGCTCCTCAATGGAGAACCAAGGCAGGGCAACCCATCTCCTTGTCTCTACTTTGCAAGGCCCCTATGATGGTACCAGATATCAAAGAGGAAGAGGTAGGGAGAACAGGTAGCAAAGGGAGGGGAGCTATGTGCTGCTCTCACTTTCCCCAAGGAGAATTCAACGCCTAATTGAGTCACTCACACACTTCCAGTTCCTCGGGGCCTAAAAAGTACTGTACCATCATCAACAACCGTGTGAGGTCCTTTCAAGATATTAAATCTATTGATGTCTCTGAGTCTCTTGGTGCTTTGGGGAAATGGCCTAAATATGGCGATTATTAATCTCTAAATGATTGTCCCAGGGATATTAATGGTGCTTAAGGGAGCTCTCACTCTCTGCAGAGCATTTAATCACTGCTGCTGAGACAGACCAGGTTCATGGCTGAAGTCTGATTATTTGTATGACTTCAGCATCATCACGGATTGCTTCCGTGAGGAAATGGACTTGCAAACCCAGCTTTGAGTAAGTTAGTATCTGAATGCTACGTGCAAAAACATGTAAAATGAACCCTCAGTGGGTTTCCTCTGTCCTCTTTGATGTGGGCTTTGCCATCTGAAAGAGGACCGTTTAGGAGGCAGGGGCTTCTGGGAGAAGAATGCTGTGCATTTGCGGCAAAGGAGCTATTGGAGATGGCTAAGTGTGGCCTTCATGGCCACGCTCAGAGGCCTGGATAAAACACGAAAGCAGCAATCATTGGAGCGCCTCTGACCAGGCAAAATCCAGCTTCTTGCCTGTAAGGAGAAACTGTGATCCTATCGTGAAAACCTGGCCCCTCTTTTAAAAATCTGTGTTTGCACAGAAACTTCTGAATTCCTATCCATCAATTCTCCGTGACTGTTCTGATTTGGTGTATCCCTTAGTTACTTTCCTGTTGCTGTGATAAGGCACCATGACTAAGGCAACTCATAGGGGAAAAAACAAAACGTTTATCGGGGCAAGTCCATAGTCATCATGACTGGGAGCAAGGCAGCAGACGAGCAGACATGGTCCTGGAGCAGAAGAGAGGGGCTTACATCCTTACCTGCATACTGGAGGCAGAGAGAGCTCACAGGGAAGGGAGTTTCAAAAGCCCACCACCAGAGGTACACCTCTTTCAAAATGGCCACACCTCCTAATTCTTCCCAAGTACTTTCACCAAATTGGGACCAAGCATACTAACATATGAGCCTCTAGGAGCTAGTAGGAAATGTCTCCCAAGGGCTTCCCTGTTACGAGGATTTGGTCTCCCACAGGTGGTACTATTTTGGGAGGGACTAAAGCTTTAGGAGATGGGGCTTAGATGGAGAAAGTAGGTTAGAAGGAATGTATTCCTGGTGGCTATATCTTGTCTCTAATGCATCTCCCATTTTCTACTCCTTTATCCTCTCCCTCCGGGTAGCAATGAGGTGACCACCTTTGCTTTCTCAGGACGCTCTACCTCGCCACCATGTTGGAGCAACAAAGCCAGCTGACCATAGACCTAAAACCTCTGAAACTCTGAGCCCAAACCATTCTTTGCTCCTTGAAGTTGTTCTCTTGGGAACTTTGGCATGGTGACAAAAGTCTGATTGCCACCAGACACTAGTCATCCGCACGAATGTGTGAAGGTGAACCAGGGTGCAAACAGAAGTCTGGTAGCTCAGTGACTTTTCCCAGGACTCGTGCGTGCTTGGCAAGAAAGCCTAACTCCTAAGATCAGAGCAGTAAGGTCAAAGGTACCCTCACCCCTGCCCTTACAGAACACAACACATATCTGGTTAACCCTGAAAATGCCAGGCACTTTGCACCAGCAAGCATGAATCTGCCCTGTCCCTGTCTTCCACTGTGCTTTTACTTGGAAGAGCAGCCAGGAGCCAACAGCCTTGTTTCTTTTCACCACAATGTGCCCCAAACGGGAGTGCTGACTGGATGATACTGCACTGAGATGAATCAACTTGGAGACACAAAATAGAGCAAAATCAACCAAATCAACCAGGTTAGTCTGTCCTTAGTTGTTTCTACACTAGTCTCTTCTTGTCCACCTGACCTGCTGGAGGTGACGCCTAACAGCCCTTCCCTGGGCTATTGTGGTTTTTTTTTTTTTTTGATCTTCAGATTTTTGAAGTCTTAGACACCTCATACCAACTCTATACAGTGAGTGGAAGCACGGGTTTTTAGAATGGTAAGTGTCCATATTTTCTCTCCCAATTAAAAACCTTCAACATCTCTGTCTTGCTCTCCAAACAATCCCTCGGCCTAAGTGACTTCAGGGTATGACTTCTACCTCATACCCTTTGGAATCACCATCACAAATATCCTGCTTCATAGACAGCCTTGGAGTCGTTTCTGAGGTCATACATGTAAGACAATTAATTCTACTATTGCTCCGCAGGTGTTTTTTTTTTAGGTATCTGGTGGTGGCTGTGCACACAGGCTACACAGAATATAGACTTGGCAGAGAGCAATGGCCGACACTGCACAGCACAGGGTGTAGAGTGTTTTACTTCACCCTGTACACTCTTCCATAAAATGGCACAAATATTCACAGGGAGCACATGTTACTTAAACAATTAGAGGAAGCAATAAAGCAATTTGGAAAAAAAAAAAAGCCCATACTAGGTAAGCCGTGTTTTAACAAACATTGTTGACCATGTTCAGTGATATGTGGGATTTTAGCCCTTAAGCAGGTTGTACTTGGCGCTCATGGAAGAGCAAATGACCCAGCACTGAAAGTGGCCCATGAATGCCATCAGCTTGCAGGACAACTGAGGAATATCCCAAAGCTCACACAAATGGCCCAGCATCTCTTGTCTGCCTAAAACAAAGCTTTCTTCAAAGTGCTATTTCGTCACCTTTGTAAAGACTCCCTCCTGACCTAACACCACCACGGGTCAGCAGGGGTCACCACTAGAGAAGCTTCCCCACCCAATCCCCTGCCAGAAGGTCATTGTGAAAGCGCCAGGGTGTATAGAACCCACAAGAAACCTGCCCAAGTCCAGGACCCTAGTCAGGGCTTCATTTCTTGCCCAGAGCCTTGAGAAACAGACTTGGAGTGACTGTAGGGGGAAGCAGGGCACAGCTGAGCACTCGAAAAGACGGTGCCACGACCTGTCTAAACTTTCTGTAGCTAAAGGAAGTGTTTTTCTGGGCCTGGGGACTAGGCCTTGGCTTCTCTACCTGAGCTCACCTTCCTCTCAACCACAGAATGTTCGGGATCTTGGACTGGTTCGAAGGTCCCACAGGGCTCCTGTTCTCTCAGTGTGTACTTTCTACGAGTATCTTGATTGAACTCAGGCCATCTTCCCTACCTTTCTGTGACCATCCTCCAGCCCCAGTAGAATGACAGAGACCTTTTTTTTTTTTTATGATTTCCATCTTCACTTGAACAGACCCTGCCTGCTGCATAAGTCCCCCCAGGCCCAGTGCAGATACTCTCTGTGCCTCCCAAATCTGGGCCGCTCCTGTTTTAACCCTGACCACTCTGACAGGAAATCTGATTCTGAGTTTCCCCACCCATGAGGCCTCTCACTGGGTCACACACTCACTTTTACATACATAGACACTTGCTTTAAACCCGGACCTCACACAGCCTGGTTGTAACTGCAAACAAAAGGAACCCAGGACATCCAAGCTGTGCGGTTCTAAAGAAAGGGTGCCTGGGAGTAAGAATTTCTTTCTTTTTTTTTTTTTTTTTTTTTTGCGTGGAAGCCAGACAGGATTTATTAGCATCTGCAAAAGCTTGAGAAGGTACCACACAGTAGCTTTGATTTTACAACACGGACTTGCGGGGGGGGGGGGGGGGGGGGGGGGGTGGGCGCAGTGTACAATGTCTTCAGCAACGAGGGGAAACACAAGTTTCACATTCTTAAAAAAGGTTACGGATGACACCTGCACTTGGCCTTAAAAGAGAATTAAAGCACGGGAATCCAGCAGAGACCAGCTTGATTTACAGTTAGCATCAGTCTTAATCTAACGTTACCGTTATAAGAAACTGCAAGAAGACTATTAGAAAAATATAAGAAGTGGGGGAGGTCCTGAGAGAATGCCATTTGAGGGTGAGGATTTCAAGCACCCAGTTGCTGCTAGTCAGCTGGAAAACCATTGCCTCTGAGAAGCACACTCCCCTCTTCCTCCAGCCAGCAGCTTTCCCCCTCTCCCTCCTCCACTTAGAAAATGAAGCACCACCATGACTGCAGAGCTAGGAAGAGGCTCTTCTCCGGGGGCAGCCAGATCTGACTTCTGAATCTAAACAAAGGCTGCTTCACTGAGAAGCAGGAATGGGTGAGTGCCCTAGCACAAGGTTGGTCAAAGATGCCCAGAGAACAGGCACATCATGATGAGGCCGAAAGGCTGTGCACACACATGAGGAGGGCGAGAACGCCATTCTAGTTTCATTATCGCTCAGGAGACTGGAATCTTCCTAGAAACCCAATATCATGGGGAAAAGTCTCATTAACTGATGAGGTAAAAGACAAATAGGAGAGCTGAGAGCCTGTGAGAGCCTGTGAATGGCTCCATTATAACAAACCCCACGTCTACACCTGCTCCATAAATTTTGAGGACAAGGCCCCAGACTTGGCATTGCACACTCACCAACTCTCCCCGGGGTTAAACAAAAAATCAGCCTTGTGACACAAGTTCAGTACATGTTAATACAAGTCACGCTAAATTTGTGATGTTATATGTTATAGTATATGTTAATTCAAGGCACGCTAAATTCGTTATGTTATATGTTATAGTATATGTTAATACAAGGCACGCTAAATTCGTGATGTTATATGTTATAGTATATGTTAATACAAGGCACACTAGATTTGTTTTTGTTGTTGTTTGTTTTTGTTTTTTTTTTTGAGACAAAGTCTCACTGTGTGGCCCTGACTGGCCTGGAACTCACTATATAGATATAGGTGGCCTCAAATTCACAGAGCTCTACCTGTTTCTGACTCCTCAGGGGCCAGAATTAAGGGGCCTAGATAGATATGCTACCTTTGTTAACTGTTTCTATTTCAAAAGCAATATAAGTCTATTGCATAAACGATAAAACTTCAAGGTAAAAATTTAAGGCTACTATTGCTCAAAGGAAATGTAAAAAATTACTATCTATGAACGATATTATAAAGCAAAAAAACAGAGAAGTCATAAATCTTTACCTCAGAAGATAAAACATAAAGGGATAGGGCACACCTTAAGAGAGCTCCGTGGCTCTTTTACATTTTGATCAATCTATAAAGAGTGAATCTTTATCTCTTATTCATACAGATGAATAGTTGGAAGGGGTAATCTGGAATTAAAATAAGGAACAATAACAAAACAAAGGCACACCTGTTGAACATATCAGATTCTAGAAGCCAGGCTCCACATTTCATGACAAAAAAAAATCAACACAGAGTCCCAGGCCTCAAATGGCATGTCCATTAATTATACATGACAAAATACAGAAGTGTCCTGCTTCCTGTCACTCATCAGACGCATTAGAGACAGCCAAAGAGGAAATGGGACATCAGAAGGGGTCTTCTTAAAATGTAACGTCCTAGTAGAGAAATCTGTGAGCAGCACTCAGTCCCCACTAGAGTGCCCCTAACCCTCTTAGTGTGTTCACCAGTGCAGCCCGGGGTTCAGTCCAGTTCTGGGTAATGACAAGGTACCAGGCAGGGTGTTCCCTAGGCGATTTCTGCTCCTGTCCTAGCCATGTTTTTCAGACCATTATGTGGTCAGCAGATGCAACCATGGTGCATTTGCCTGGAGGTGTTTAGGGTTCCCCCACAAGGCAGTCTGCGGAGCACATCCCAAGGGTTCCATAGATATAAAGTGAAACAGCTCAAATAAACTTAGGAATGAAATGATTTTCTGTTTGCCCTATGAGGCTTGTGATTGTCTGTCAAAGAGCATTGCTTCTCTTCCCTTTATGGCCAAGTTCCGTTTCTTGTTTAGTAGTAACTAAAAAGGCATTTAGGATCTGGCAGCATGGACTTCCCAATCAATGAGCAAATCCATCCCTCATCCTCCATGCACCTCTCCCATGAGCTTCTGTTGCAACCTCACTTGGTGCCCAGATACCAGTCATGTGACCTTGCCAAACTGAATCTTCCTCCAAGGGACATAACCACACCTCCCCTTCTCTCTTATTTCTCCAGGGGTTTGCAGAAGAGAAAAGGGCAAGCCCTACCTTAGTAGGCTAACTCTCCAGCTAGTTCTTCCTGTGACTAACACAACTCTATCCTTTTAACAAGATCATAGCAAATATACTTGATATTTACAACCTGGCCCTCGGGAACCAGACAGGGGGGGGAAACCATCTTACCTTGTCTTAAGGATATTCAGAAACTGCAAAATTTCTGAAAACTGTATCAGTCTGAGAGCTCTTAAAAATCTCAAGCCTGGAAAGAGAAACAAGACAGAGGTGTTATTCTCAGTGCTTGGCTGTCATGCTCCCAGCCTGTTGTCTGAGTGACTGTCACTCATGTCTGCTGAAAGGGCCGAGGAGGCCTTGAGAAGATGAATGCTCCAGAACATTGGGACCGCTGCTTCATTTTGATTCTCCACTGGCTTAGTCTTAGCTGGTAAATGGGCTTTCTTGTTAAAGGTGAGCTATTTGAAAGCACGCTTAAGGGAGAAGCTAGAAGCTCGGGCCCATGTTAAGAGGGATTGTCTCCCCTGGTGAGTTCCATTGTAAAGTCCCATTTCTGAGCTACCCAGTGATCTGGCAGAATTTGGGTTTCTGAAAAATACTTAGAACTGTGCTCATTCAGGATAACCTTGTGCTTAAGAGCAGATTAAGAATAAATCGGATCATCTTATGTCTTTGATGACTTTTTTCTAATCTTTATTTTCAACCTAGATAAAAGAAAGACTCTGGCCCAGAGAACTACAAATGTTCTATATATTTTTTTTATTTTCTCTCAATTAGAAACAAAATAAAAGAGAAAAACAAACACAGATGAGTGAGCTACCACACTTCACAACTTCAGGATTCAAAACTAACAGTTCTATTTTCACTGATGTCAGCGATTTTTATATCTTTAGTCTCTCTTTAATGGAAGAGTTACAGCTTCTAAGTGGGGAGGGACAATAATCAATGAGTTATTTTAGGTTTTGTTTTTCAGAAACAGGGTGTCATGTAGTCAGGCTGGCCACAAAATCACTCTATAGTAAAGACCAGCCTTGCACTCCTGATCCTCCAGCCTTTACCTCCCAAGTGCTGGGATTGCAGAGATGCTCCACCACACCCAGTGTTTTCTTTAGTCGCATCTCCCTTCAAGGATCACTCTGTCTAATTCAAAGCCATGCTATAAAAAATATTCTGAATCACCAGGGAAGGGGTAGTGCATACCTTTAATCCCAGCACTCAGGAGGCAGAGACAGGCAGATCCCTGTGAGTTTGAGGCCAGTCTTGTCTACAGAGAAAGTTCCCTGATGATCAGGGCTACACAAAGAAACCCTGTCTCAAAAGACAAAAACAAAAAAAATATTCCAAATCAACCAGAGATCTTATGGAGAACTATTGCCAAATGCCATGAGCAAGCATTGGGGTGCTCGCTCCCCAGGGATTTCCTCTTCCCTCAGCAGCAGTGTGACACAGCATGATTAGGGTGAGAAGTTATTCTGCTCCCCACAAGGCGGGCAGGGAAGGAAGTCTAATTTGCATGGTGAGATGACAGCAGCCATGAGATCCACAAGAGACCTCTGCCCCAGGGTGAAGCCAGAGTACCTTCTCCTTGAAGAAAGGGTGCCTACCTGGAACACTGCAGAACTGTCTCAATAATATGTAAAAATCAACCTATGGCCCAGAGGTGGGCGTGCCCAACTCACAAAGGAAGTAGGAGGTAGTACTGATGGCTCAAAGGGAGCGTTCTCACCTGAGAAGAATCCCACTTTGCAAGCAAGAGATGATGTTCAGAGTATGTTCCTGCGTCGCTAAAGAGTATTAATGTAGTTATTATTCTAACCAGAGAGGCAGACCTGCGAATGGAGGTAGGGGATATGAAAGAAACCTAGACTACTGAGAATCCAGTCTTACCAAACGGATGGAAAGCTGGCTAGCACTGCTGAGCCCAATCTAAAAAGGTGCTGCCTCAAATGCGGGAAAAACAAGAGAAAGAGAAACACAACGCAAGCAAAGAGCAATGGAGAGGAGGTCGCAGAGATGCAAGGGAGGAATAAAATACAAGGCGACGGAGGGGAGATCGCAGAGACCTGATGGAGGAATAAAAAGAAAACACAGAAAACCCCATGGTCAGAAGCAGGAACAGAAATGAGCAGAAAAGAACTATCTAGAAATTTAAAAAAAAATGATTTCAGATTAAAAGAATTAAGATGTATCTGCCTTTTCTTTGTTTTCAAGTTTTAAGTATAATAATGACTTAAACACTGAATCTAAAGCATCAGTGTTATGGTAGGTATTAAAGCAGGAAGTGTTAAATGCTAATATTTGAATGGTAAGTATTCCTCTAAAGTTGGCTTGGTCCTTGGCTGGGGCAGCAGTAGAAACTGATGGAACCCGTAACAGATAGGGTCCAATGGATATAAGCCAGGCCACTGGTAGAATGTTCTAGAAGGAGATGTTGGGACCCCCACTCCTTTCCTGTCTTTTCCATTCCCAGCTTCCCTGAAGCGAGAAGCTCCATTCTACCACACACCATTCCCCATGGCACGGAGTCTGAAGCAACAGGACCAAACCACCGTTTCCTAAGAGCTCCAAGATTGCCAGCCCAAATCCACCTTTCCTACGGCTCAGTTGTTTGTCTCAGCTGTTCTGACACAGACGAAAAGCTAACACAAGTGACACTTGGGCAACACTCAGAATTTTTTTTGACACTGTCTGACCTAAGGTTTTGATAATGACTCAAGGAGCTCAGAAAGACTAAAATCCAGAGCAACAAATACCTTATCTTTGCTGTTGTTTTCAGCTGTACAAATCAGTCCATCAGTCAATCAGTCAGTCACTCACTCACTCAATCAACCAACCAAAGTCATTAAATCAAGTCAGACTTCAGACTATCAAGAGACCTTATGGTGACATGTCATAAAGTGACAGGCAGAAAGCTTGAAGTAGCCAGCTAGGGTAGACTCACTAGCAATGTGGCAGCTATTCCTGGGTTAGCTACACACAAGCTCTTGTCTTTGTGTTTGTGTGCACAGACTGGTGTGTGTATGTAGGTACATATGTATGATTTATGGAACCAAAAATAGAATACCACTTCCCGAAAGTTTGAACTGAATTTATTTTTTTTATTTTTAAATGTTTGGGGTCTGCAGACTGACACACTCTAATGACTTACAAACATATAATACAACAGAGGATTTTCTTCAGTGGAGGTGGTTGAATTTGGAGCTAGGAATAAGAGGAATCAAGGGGCATAAAGCCCACACAGATCACGGCTAGCTTTAGCTGTCAACCTGACACAAATGTAGAGTCATTTGGGAAGAGAACTCAGCTGAAGAAATGCTCAGATCGGACTGGCCAGTAGCCATGTCTATAAGGCATTCTTTTAACTGTGGATTGATGTAGGAAAGACCAGCCCACTGCGGCCAGTATGGTTTCTAGGCAGGTGGGCCTGGGCTGTATAAAAAAGCAGCATTCCTCCATGGTTACTATGGTAAACTGATTCTTTGAGTTCATGGCTTCCCTGGATGATGGATTATAAAGTGTAAACACTTTCCTTTAAGTTTCTTTTGGTTGTGGTGTTTATGACAACAACAGAAAGCAAACTAGGCCAGCCTCCAACCTTGTGTGAGAAGCCCACTCAGCTAGCTGAGTGTCTCCCTAACAGGAGCTACGCAGAAGACAGTGCCTAGCCAATAGAGTCTATGGATAAAAAGCAGACACTTAGCTCTCAAGGAAGTTTTCTTGGAGTGAAGAATACAGGAGGGCATCTCCCTGCTGGAAGAAGTCCAGTACTGTGAGCCTAAGATTCATAGGAGCTGAAGAGAAAAGGGCTTGTTTCTTTAATGACCTCTAGAGGTCACTGCCTTAGCATCGAGGCTCACTAACAAAAGAGAAAAAGGCCAGTGTGGGATAAACACACACACACACACACACTGCCATTTATAACTCAGTAAAATAATCACTTCGAAAATAAAGCAAAATTATATTGCTGATCACCTATTTTAATTATGTCCTACATATGAAAAGCTGTGTCTTTTAAAATTTATACAACAGAAGAAAATAGCTAATGATTATATATATATATATGTTATACATTATTTGCATATGTTTAAGCAACAGGGCCAGATTTTACACCCAAATATGTCAAACTGCACCCAAACCCCAGACTTGTACCCACTGCCTTGCTCAAAAGACCATTCGAGTTCCAACTGGACTCAAGGAATCGGTATCAGTTTTCTACCATTGTGCCAAAACATCATGGAATTTTTATACAGGAAAGTGGATTTTATACAGGAAGGGCTCATTTTGGCTTATTCTGGCTCAGTTTCAGAGGTCTGGTTCTTGGTGTGTGTGGTAGAGAAAGGTCATTCAGATTTCTCTGTGTGTATGGTAGTATGTGGATGCTCATGTCTACGGAAGTCAAAGATGGATCAACATGTTGGTTCAATTTAGTGACTCAGTGTTGCTGTGAATAACATGTAAACAAGCAGGAATGGCTTTATTGGTGTGAAACTCTGTTAGTATAAATAGACCGTAGGGATTAGTTGGCTACACCTGCTTTGGAGGCAACCTAGTCTAATGCAGGCAGCAAAGGATCCCCCAGACTTTTAGGTGCTCACACTCAGAACTGAAAGGGGACCGACACTGCGCACACAGAACAAGCTCTCAGCTGAGGTAGGGCTGTGGCTCAGAAGGCCACATGGAGGCAGAAACACGCAGGACAGCAGTTTCTGCACCAGCCTGCTACATCTGCAAGGTGAAGACTGAAAGCCAGGGCTAAGCATGCCACACAGCCCAGACACTCCTACTTAGTAAGGATAGTTTGGGCATAGAGTGTTTTAAAGTTCAGATTCTAACATGCAACCATGTTTGGGAGCGTCAGGTTTAGGGCACCTTATTATTTTTTAATTTATTTATTTCTTTATTAATTAATTAAAGATTTCTGTCTCTTCCCCACTGCTGCCTCCCCTTTCCCTCCCCCTCCCCCAAACAAGTCCCCCTCCCTCGTCAGCCCAAAGAGCAATCCAAACTGCCTAGGCTCCCACAAAACCAATAGGTGCAGTAGGATCAAAAACCCATTGCCATTGTTCTTGTTATTTTAACCCTTAATTTATCATTCCAGGTTGATAGATTTATTTATGCTGCCTAAAGACACATGTTTTATTTTGACATCCCCCCATATTATTTTAACCCTTAATTTATCATTCCAGGTTGATAGATTTATTTATGCTGCCTAAAGACACATGTTTTATTTTAACATTCCCCCCACAC